TCCTGTGCAGCCTGCTGTAGGTGACCCTGCTTCAGCAGCAGGGTTGGACTAGATGACCCACAGAGGTCCCTTCCAACCCCTACTATTCTGTGATTCTGTGATTACTTACTGCATAGCAGTTTAGAGTTTGGTTTAGTGCTATATATGGCACCCTATTCACTCAGATTTTTAAAAAGAGGTATCTTTTTAACAGATTTAAGTTTGCTGAGATGAAGGTCTCTTTTTAAAGCTACTGTGTTATAACTGTATGACCACACAGATCAAAGAAACTTCCGTTCTGTAACATCTCTCAACGCTGTAACAAACAGCAATTGTATTCAGCTGCATGATATAAACCAACTATTTCCAGAAATGCCTGTGCAGTCCCAATCACGTAACAATAGTTTTAATACTAAAGCTTCAGTGCATTTATTCTGAGATCCCGGCACAGCTGTAACGCCAACGAAGGCACAGCAAGGCAGCAGGTGAGAACCTGATACCCCCTGCGAGAGCGTTCTGTCTCTCAGGCGTCCCTGTGACAACCCAAAGAGGGCAAAAGAACAGTCGACGTTTTGCAACACTCACCTCTCTGGCGGCCAAGACTATGGTTGTTAATTGGGAACGATCACCCCATTCTGCTAAAAACGTTAAAGTAAAAGCTTGAATGAAGATCGGAGAAATAAAATGCAGCCATTTCTTCTGAGGTATAGTGGTGCCTGGCCCTGACTCCACGTCTCCTGGCCCATTTAACAGTTTAGTTCTCTGAAGCTGTGCAGGACAAGGGAAAAAACACAACCAACCATAAGATTAGAAATGTCATGCAAACAACCCAAATGAAATACTTAAACTGTAAAGCTAGCCACTTGGTATCTGGAATGTTATCAGCCACTGACTGCTGCATTATTTAAATATTATTTATTATAAGTATTATTTAAATATTAGACACCATTTAAAAAAACTAGCTACATATACACACACACACATATATCTGTAACCGCCTCCAACCTCCAGTTATTGTCCACCTTGCACTGCTCGCACTCACGCAGCAGTTCCAGCACGAATGACGCCTGGTTTCTAACAACAGATTTCTTCCTATTTTTAAAGCAGGGATCCCCCTCTGCCCACGTGGTGGCTCTCAAATTAGGATTTGAGAAAATTAATGGAAAAGAAAAAAAATCTTAAAACAAAGAATATTAATACATACTATTCCTTAGAAGGATAACAGTATATTTAGAAAGTTGTTGTAACAGAGACCTTTGCTGCAACACTACAAACCTCAGCATTCTGCCTGTCCATAAAGAGAAATAAAAAGCAGAGGCAAGACTAAACTGCTGATGGTCTCTCTGGTAGTAATGCATTAAAAAAAAAAAATAAAAAGAAAGGAACTCTATGGAGAAAGTCCCTTCCCTCCTGAGAAGCCAGGCTTGCCACAGAACTGGAATGGCCTGTTGAAATGGCCTCCAGGGGCCACTTCTGTCCCATTTACCGCACGTTTTCTGGGTCAGATTACAGACACAGCTGAACACCCCAAACATGACAGTGCCGTTCCGCAGCTTCATGGCTGTAACTATTTCGTCAGCCGTAATTCACAGAAACTTTATGACTTACTTCCTCATCTTTTTTTTTAATTTCTGCTTGAACTTCCTCCAGCTCTTCCTGACCCTCATCTGGACTCATTTTCAAGCCTTCCCGAAGCATTCGGATGCCAAAAATTGCAAACAGTGCTGTTGACACATAGTATGTGTATACACGAGGAATAACTGTGGTGGCATAGCCAAACAAAACTGAAAAGAAAACAAAACAAATGTGTCATTTGAAAAAATAAGCACGAGAAGGATCATAATTGTTTTTCCCATAGCTAAGAAATGCTCACTAGCAAAGTCTGCGATTCAAATATCCACTGATAAATAAATGTTGCATCTTTTGTTATTTTTATATAATTTTCTTTTTTTTCTCCCCCCCCCCAAGATAACAGTGCTCTAGAAACTCCGACCATTACTATTACTGGCCATACCAGAGACTGAAGTGCATTAACACACAGACAAGGCACACCGGGCAAAGCTGATGTGCTGCTGTTCCCAAGAGCCAGGCCAAGCAACATTATCTTTCCCATCAAGGACTATGCAAGTCCTGGCTTTCTCCGAGCACGCCACAAAATTATCATCTGTAACCACGTTAGATTAGTCACGGTGTATACCAGTTAAGTGAATTCTTCTGTCAGACTACATATTGGGTAACATCTCTTTCCAATGATTTCATTTATCAGATAAAATTAGAAGATGATTTTGTTCAAGTTCAATCTCCTAGACATACCCAAAAATCATCCAGCTGCATGAATCCACATCTGCCTTCTTTTGCCAAGTGCAAACACCTGCACATTAGTACTCCCTTCTCTCCCACACTCCCCACAAACACACAACATGACCAACTTTGATCTTCCTTTAATTTAAAAGCACGGATGCCACTCAAAGACCAAAAAGCTACCTCCACAGTGCATCTACTTCTATGGGTATCGAAGGCCATCAAACTAAGCCAAAACTAGTTCTCAAAGAACAAGAAATATTTATTCAGGACAAAGTACGTGCTTATAGGCCTTTCTAAATGAGAGGAAGTTAAAGCTCCACACCTAACGTTCAAGGCTGCTTGGACCCTGCACTCACAACTGTCTCTTGTTTCACTCCATGTGCAATTAGCTAAAAGGAAGTATATTACCATATGTGTTTTCATGAACACACTTTCTTAGTGGAAAAATGCACTCAGAAGTTACTACATGATATGGAAATCAATAAGCACTGCCACTACCAAAAGCAAGACTATGAGACCAAAATTAACGAGGCTGTACTGTTAGTAAAAACACCTTAAGTAGTGTTCACTTCAAGCCAGTGAGCTTAGGCAAGCACATTTGCATGAAATCAAGGTGGGCAAAAACCCCAGGAGTTTCCAGACACACCTTGTATAAAATAAGAGAAGCGGAGAGAGGGAAGAAGGAGACAAGAAAAAAACGAAAAGAAAAAAGGCTCCTTTATGAAAAGAAAGAAATAGCTGGGAACCTCTAAACTGGGGATAAAGCAGAAAAGGAAGCTTTTACAAAAAAGCATCAAGAAAGATCTGAAGAAAGACTCCAAATAGAAAATGGGAGAGCTGTAAGGGGCAGCAGCAAAGAGCCTGCAAGATATACATACTAGTGCATCACCTGCAGAACCAAGTAACGTGAAACCAAGCAAGCAGCGCCGAAGTGGAAGCAGCGTCAAAGCCCTGTATTAGGTGAGTAACAGAAGAAACTCATACAAGGCTATCATTACACACAGCGCAAAGGGAAACTGCTCCAAGGCTGCAGTAATAATTGCAGCAATATGTATAGCAATACCTACAAGTTCAAAAACCATTCACAGAAACACTTGCCGAGAAGCCTGAGGCCAGTTAACTGGCCGCCTCCAGCGCACATAAACCGATGAACAATTATTTCCGGAATGGGCATGGTTAGAAATTAGCGCACATACAACCAAATTTATGCTGCGTGTGATCTACCTGAAGGCTGCTCCATCTGACGATGATGGCTGCGTAAGCGCCCACAGCTACAGGTTCCTCAAGTGCCACCTCACTCCCCACCCCAGCTCTTGGCTCTGCCAGGACCACCCATCCCAAAGGACGACGGCAGAACGCCGGCTCCCGCTTGCGCAGCTCCCAGCACAATCCAAACAGCTCCACATACAGGGACACAAGTCAGACGAGGGAAATTTGTTATCATATTAAGAATCCTTCGCCTTAGGACGAGAAACAGAAGTCACTCCCACTTTCCCTTTAGGCACACTAATTTACCAGGAGCTAAAAATAAAAAGGAAGCCAGTGACCCAAAAAGCAAAACGCTTCGGTTCCCAATCCCATTCCTCTTCCTTAAATTGATATCGAGGTCTTGGGAGTGCAAGCACCTCGTTAGAGGTAAGAGCCTAAAGACTCAATCTGAGCCATGGTACCCAGGAAAAGCTTCCCACTCTCCTCAGACCAGAAAACTGCACATACCCACTACCTCCGTTTTCTGCAAGCACCTCGTTAGAGGTAAGAGCCTAGAGACTCAATCTGAGCCATGGTCCCCAGGAAAACCTTCCCACTCTCCTCAGAACAGAAAACTGCACATACCCACTACCTCTGTTTTAATTTCAGTTAAGAAATTGATAAACACAGACCCAGCACATTCCAAGAGACGAAACGAAAAGAGCACTAACCTGATAAACACGTCATCAGTCCCAAGGCAAGCATAGCACCAGCCAGTACAGTCAAACGGTTGTACCGCATTGCCATGATGGCTGCAATGAAGAAGGTCTTGTCCCCCAGTTCTGACACGATGATGACCGATATAGCAGCCACAAACGCATGAATAAAGCCCAAATTAGTCTTGTCAGCCGACTCATCATTGACGAGGTGAACTGGAGCAGCCGGCGAGGAGCCCTTCTGTAAGAAGGGGACAAAACAACAACAAAAAACCCACCAGTTAATTAGGCTTGAACAGTCCGTTCGCAGAAGCACCGCGCCTGGTCTTTCTCCTGTCACATCCCACTGCGTAGCATGACATTTTAAGTACGCGCCTCTCACGCAGCATTAACGATCATTAACCAGTTGCTGGCTGCCACCTACCTCAAATTGCTAGTTAGGCACTTAGCAAGAAGCTCAGGTCGTGCACCAATTACTAAAGCAGCGCTTCACCGTGCACGCTATTACCAGCAGGTAAGAACCACTAGTACAACAAAACATGGGGAAAGCTGCTTTAGTTCAGCTCTAATATCACTACCTTTACAATCCTTGGCTATTTACTTTATGACCTTGACCAAACAAGCAATTTTCTGATATAAATATTAAGAATTAAGCTCTTCAAACTAAAAGAAGAACTATCCTGGGCGACTAGGATAGCTTCGGAGAAATACAAAGTCCTTTCAAAAATGGTCAGAATCGCTTTCTTCCCTTGCGGAACCCTTTCATCTCTGCCACTACCTTTACAATCCTTGGCTATTTACTTTATGACCTTGACCAAACAAGCAATTTTCTGATATAAATATTAAGAATTAAGCTCTTCAAACTAAAAGAAGAACTATCCTGGGCGACTAGGATAGCTTCGGAGAAATACAAAGTCCTTTCAAAAATGGTCAGAATCGCTTTCTTCCCTTGCGGAACCCTTTCATCTCTGCCACATTAAGATTTTGCACAAGTTTTTATCGGAAAGCTGCTTTAGTTCAGCTCTAATATCACTACCTTTACAATCCTTGGCTATTTACTTTATGACCTTGACCAAACAAGCAATTTTCTGATATAAATATTAAGAATTAAGCTCTTCAAACTAAAAGAAGAACTATCCTGGGCGACTAGGATAGCTTCGGAGAAATACAAAGTCCTTTCAAAAATGGTCAGAATCGCTTCCTTCCCTTGCGGAACCCTTTCATCTCTGCCACATTAAGATTTGGCACAAGTTTTTATCAGCTTTTTTTTTTTTTTTGTACACACTCTGCGTTGGCTGAAACCTCGCCTCAAGACTTTCCAGCGGTCAAACCGGACCAGCACACTCCAGACCTCGCTTACTCACCGGCATGTTTACTTTCACGTAGATTAAGGTATCGACAGGCAAAAGCCAGACATAAAACGAGGAAGTCGAGGTTCACGTGCTTGACCCAAGACGGCCAAGGCTTGTCTGAGCACACCTACCCGCAGAGACAGACGGCGACGTGTTTCAGCGACAGCTTCCCAGAATTCCACTCCCAGCAGCGCTGCAAGTTTCGAGTTTTTATATTTTAAAGCTTCTGTGCTCTGTGTGACAGACGGCGACCTCCCAGAGCTCCTTCACCTTGAGCAACGCCATAAATTTGGGGGTTCGGGATTTAAGACGTGGCACGCCTCCCGCGCTACATCAAGCCATACGCTTGGTAATTTTTTCCATCCCTCTGCGTGATCACCCGGCGCTAGGATACCATAACCACGAACGCCATTTAAAAAGTATTAAATCTTAAATATCGGAAGGG